AATCCGCCGAAACGTCAGCTCATTTGTGAATAAAGAATAATAACACCTCGCGTTTGCTCAACAAAAATACGAAGAATCACTACCACTGTGCTATCCGCCTCTGCCTTTGAAATATAGGAAGTCGAATAAAATTTTTATGACAAATTCATGTAAGATCATGAACACAGCAAAAATATTAACTATTGATTTGCCGAGGTTAAGTGAATGTCGGTTTTTTTGAGAACTATTGTTAATATGTATGACACTCGTCGAGTGCACTTTTCGACTGTAGAAACTGTTGTTTATCATCGTTCTACTGAGTAAACTTTGGATTTCGTGAATATCCAAGTGTCCGTCCAGCAAAACAGAACGATATGTATGAGTATAGGTTCTAAATTTAACAGGGAGTTAGGTTAGAATGGATTATAGAATCAATGGCTAAGCACACCAATTATTATCTAGTGAGGAAGATGAAGCGGTAAAATGGATTATCTTAACTGAGGCTATAAATGAATAGAGTGAAGTAGAACGGAATGTTTACAAAGGCTGGGCTTTCTGGAGTAATTATTGTTTGCGGCGTCCTAAGAAATTTTTAGATTAAATGCCATGACGGGGATCGGCGGGATATCCACCACGAGTTTCTCGCTATGAACTCATTCGATACCTGAATCATAGTAATTCTTGACGTTAGTGTAAACTATGCTGGGCTTCAGCATGGAAACCTCATTAATAATAAAACAGATGGCGTCGTACATGAAATATGATACTTTTCGTGTTCGTCAAGTGAATCGAGCTGACTAAGAAGTTATGAGGAGTGGAAGAAATGGAAAGCGGTTTAGTGGTGCGCGCTCGAATTAGGCGGATAAAGGCGGCATAACATTGTAAAAATGAACGCCTTTGAAGAAACGGTGAAACAGCGGAGAAGATCCTACCGTTCCTATAATATCGAACGGCATCATTATTTCGAAATGTTACAGGTGGATCGGTTGGTAATGGTGGATCGCGTCTGGTTGTGAATCGACGTCGACAAGAAGGTAATCCGGTGTTGAAGTATGTCCGTAACGTGCGATACGAATGGGGCGACATAGGTGCAGATTTCGAGTGTGGTCCAACGTGCGGTGTGCTCTACCTTGCTTTGAAGGCATGATTTAAGCATAAACTCTGTACGCTTACAAATCTGAAATACACAACATAGAATCGTGAAGTGTAAAACCATCATTAGTTGACTTTATATTAGGACAAAAATCTTGACCAAATATGCACAGTAACATTTCTCGACTTCGAGTCCGTTTTCTCAATTCTACATAATTCCAATATATTGATCGCTACCCTAAACATTTTGTTAAATTATGAATCCGACGCCGAAATCAAAATGCACCATTGGTCTTCAAAAAAGAAATCGATCATTTCAGTACCACAAGCTGCATCCAAACTACATTCTTTCACGCCTGTCGGGAAAAGATGAGAACAAGTATGCATGTAGGGTACGTAGTTATTTTTTTCCATTTTTCTTTTTTTCCACTGATACAACCCTTTTCCTAAACACATAGTTCGCCGGATTCATTGATAACAAAGGACGTGTAGATGAGCAGACTGGACCGTATGCATCGATTTCTTTGTGTTTCCTTTCGAAGTATTTCTTTTCCTTAAAAGTTTATGTGCTACAGTTTTTGTATTCAATCCACACAACACAAATGTTGTGTTAAACCTGTTCCATAAAAGCTATATTCAACACTTAATATTATACAACGAATGTTTTCCACGTTGAATTCTTCAATGCACGTCACGTGCTGCTAATGTGTTAAATACAACGGTCTCGATATGCATATATTTTTCAAAGCTGCCATTTAGATAGATTGAATATTTAGCACTTTCGTATGCCGAGGAATTGTTCTTTGAGCCTCTCTGAAATGCTTAGCAACTAAACTGTTTTGACAGTATTTTTATGCACAGTGGATGGCACGAATTTTCTGACAACCTGTTTGAACTTCTGTATTCTTCTGTTTGAAGAACGTCATTGCCAATATTTATCACTTTGGAAGGTTTCAGTAATAGGGAAGCAATATTTCTACTGCAGTCTACTGAGAAGGACTGCAGCAGTCTTGAAAAGGTGTGGAAAGCGTTGAAATTTAGTTATCTTAGAAATTCCTAACATTCATTGGTTCATCCTACAATGAACTAGCCTTACTCTTTCAATACCGAACGTGCAATGACGAATTAGTTTAAGGGCGATCACTTTCTGAGTTACGCGGTGGGTGGTGCGTTCTGGAGTAGAACGGCGCATCAACTACGTATAATGAACATCTCCGCATTGGTTTCTATACAAGTTGAGAACGGAATTCCTACAAATAACGATTTCCATACTCTCATGTTGTTATTTCATGAAGTCTTAAAATATCATTCTTGCGCTTTTCGTTTACGCTTGTTGAAATTCGATAGTTTGGAACATGGCAAACTTTTTTTAAAATTTAAGTGGATGTCTTATTAGTCATTGCCTAGTCTCATGAACGGTATAGAATTACTGCCTAATATAAATGTAGGCGAACCTTTGGCGCAAAACAAGTGTCCTAATAGGACACCACCATCCTGATCTTCTGGTCATTCTGTTAGGCCTTTATCACAAGCCAATGAACTACACGCTGTAAGCTTCTGTCGTAATAGAAATTTATCACATTGCCAAGAAAAGAAATGTTTCTTATATTTTCCATCAAACTTTTAGTTGAAAACATAAAAGCAACTACAATTTTGGTAAAGCAACACTAGGACTGACCTACTGCTAACCTAAAAACAACCTCAGAATAGGTCCTTACTATATTACTAAACAGGGCACTGGTAGCCCAATAGTCGTTACTTGAATACTTAGATGGCTCGTCCTCACTGGTTGTGCGGGCCTCAGTGTAATCTTCACTTTTCCGGAGTTTTACTGGCCATTGTAGTTTCCTGGAGTTCTGAGGTCAGTCAGGCCTCAGGTCGTCACCATCACAGGCAGCCGCTGCCTTTGTAGATCAGATGCGACTACTTTGATACCAGGGTGGTGGTGAATCCTGGTATTGGTTTACTCTTAACGAAGGTTCCTGATGGAAACGCCGGACTCCTTCTCAGCTTGGCAGACCCTGCCAGGGGGATGGATCTCCCTGCCGTACACCCAGGAACACCTCCCAGCCACCATGAAGCAGTAAACAGTTGGAAATGCAGTAGTAGTTATGGGGTTTAAATACGGACACGACCGTGGTTCAACTGTTCTCCAGGCTAACCAAGTTTCTTAGCCCTCCGCGATCGGGAATTTTCTGTCAGGCTTGTGTGGGAAGCTCTCTCCTACTCACAAGACCAAGAAACACTCTATCACCGCCATCCCGGTATTCCAAGAAGAATCGACTCGATTGGCGTCCAACGGCATTCAAAAAGAAAACCAAAGATCCCCAAGCGACGGTAGAGCTCATACGTAAAATCGAAAGACCTGTGAATCTGAAAATACGGATCGAATAAAAAGAGTTCCGGGATCCTCTAGTGCATTCAATGTTGGATCGTGAAAAAAAAGAATACTTGTAAATTATCCAACTGCGTTCTTGAATAGTAATATATTCAGATTTTGCTTATTCTATGTAACGTTGATGAGCCTCGTCACACCCTACGCGAGCTCAACCTGCTGTGCTACCGCATGGACTGGACGCTGGTTTTGTGCTACTCGGTAAATCTTAACAATAATGCGTCTGTTCTGTTAAGTTTTAATCAGATATTCTGATGTGACACATGGGCCGTTATTCTAGTAAACTACATGCTTAGGTAGAGGAAGCAGCCGAATATATCGAAAACTTCAAGCTTTCGGACAATAGGGATCCTGCATTCAAGTACGAAAATTTCACATTATGACTTTAGTTTCCGAAATAACGTATTCGCGAACATAGTTTTAAAGGAGCATACCTCACCTAATTATGAGACTTATTTGAGTGAAATTCGGTACAGTCTGTATATGCTGGTTTAGCGGATACAAATTTCCTTCTCCTGCAAAGATGAGATTATGATTCCCCGAAGTTTACAAAACAACTTTTCTTTTTCGTCGAGGCTCGCGCTTCCAGCATCGAAGGGATTGAACATTCGGGATAGATTTCACGGAAGATACGGCTATCGTCGAGGTTAAGGGCTGCTTGCGTTGAAGTTTTATGAATATAGACTTTATCTCTATTACTCCTTTGAATTAGGATTTTAACATATAGTGCCTGAATTGAGCTTTGTGCAATACATACGTGAGAGGACGCAGAGGGACAAAGTGGACGAGGTTCGTTGCACTCAATGAATTTCATTCTTTAATATCGTTATACAACATTTTTTACCTAACTTTTTGTCTGGCTTGTAAAACAAATGTCAGGAGTAATTCATGAAAAGCTGTTCTCTACACGTAATCTACAAAAACCCTTTTTGTGACAAGCTAATTTTGCGATTAGAAACTACCGCTCTTGGTTAGAGTGTGTACCGAAAAAACTGTTGCCACCGAAAAGAAAGCTGAAATATCTTTTGCTTTCTTGAACTATGAAGTTCGCTTGTCGTTTCACTATGAAATGACAGATTATCAAGGCCTTCAAGGTAGCTCATTGTTCACATAATGTGCGTTAAACGTGGTGGTTTAACACATTTTGTCTTTAGAATAGTTGTTAAGTTTTACTATCATAGTCTTTCACTTGCGTTTTAAATTTTACGCTCATGGACGCTTGTCCTACAATTTACAACTCATACTTGCTTAGATGATTGAATGGCCCATCTTCACTGGTGATGCGGGCCCTTGCATAATTTCCATTCTTTTCTTTCTCGCGCACTCGTCCATGGTGATGATCTGCTTCGAACATGGTGACATCGGCGAGCCCCATTCCGATTTCTCAAAAGCGTTTTCATATGTGAATGCAGATTGTTGGCGTTTTGTACGAACACGACCTCCCATCGTGTGTGGTCTTCCAGGAGGACTCGTGCATTCTCTTCAAGTCCACTCCACTGTTCTTTTCGTTCATCTCTCCTGTATTTCTCGTTATGTGACCGGCGCATCTGTGTTTTGCTATCAACGTATATTCTCCTGGATCCCAAACATGGAATGGATTTCGAACATCTAAGCTGCGCATTTCAGCTAGACGTCGTGAATACCGGTTAAATTACAGATTATATTGTTCAAGCCCTCTCTGGGTGGTGCGCAGATATCATGATGTGGTTGAATTGTTAGCCTACGTCTTTGTTGAATAATAGGGCCATGCGAAGACTGTTGAATCGAAAAGGTGAGCGCAGAATTTTGGGTCCGTCAGTTGATCGATAGCCTTTTGAGAAGCCCGAGTGCGACGCATGCCGCTCTCCTGTGTAATTCTTTCTTAACGTTGTTTTCTGTGTTAATTGAACATCTAAGAAACCTGTACGAGGTGGTATCAGGAGGTTGTCTCTGTAATAAGAGAACCATCCCGTTTGACTTGATCGTTTTCACACTGAGTTGTTCATGAGTTCGTCCAATGTATGCGTAGTTCAGTATTTTTTCCACTTCGTGAAGTTCATTGATCATCTTCTCTACATCACTGGTACTTTTGGAAAAGATGACAACGTCATCCGCGAAACGAAAGTTTGCTAGAAATTTTCCATCAATACGTATGCCTTTCTCACCTCAACCGACGTACTTCATTATCCACCACTGCAGTGCGGCACTGAACAGCTTTGATGATTGTGTTATCTTGTCGAACTTCGATCCTCTTTTACTATGGCTATGGTGAGATGTTGATGGCAAAGGTGTATTTTCGTAGTGCAGTTCCAATAACAGTCAGGCAGAGTTCTTTTATAGACGAGTCTACTCCTTGATCGACGAGCGCTGATAGAATTGCACTCGTTTCGACACTGTCAAGCCCTTTTTCGTAGTTGGCAAAATTCAGGACTAGAAACAGGTAGGATTCGCCGACATTCTCCGATTTGATCATAATCCTAGTATTCTGTGACTCTTGACACAGTTTTGATGTGGTCCATACAACAAAATCACTGGTGTAATTTTGTTTGTTCAGCTGGTTGTGCCTCATCCAATGTCCTTTATAATGCGCGACAGGATAATTTTCGCGAACAGCTTGTAGAGCGCACTCAACATTAATATCGGACGATATTTATGAAGACCCCTTCGGTGCAACTTTTTTGGGCAGATTGACAGTGCGCAACGTACTCCGCTGATCGGCGATTTTTTCCTTTTTAAGGCAGTACGTCATATAGTTTGCGAGAAGTACATATAAACTATGGCTTCCAGCCCTAATAGAGTCGGCGGTGATATTATCAATTCCTGGAATTGCATTTGCTTTAATGCTTTTTGTCGCAACTCGAGCCTCAGAGAGAAACATTCCAGGTGCTTTTTTTCAGCAAGGATTTAATTGTTCGCGACAGGGTTTGTGGAGCAGGAAAGGTTGGTGCAGAACCATTACTTCTATTTATCTATTATTATTCATTATTACTCATGGACTACTTCCTCTAACTGGTTGTAAAGCGCGTCCAGTTCGCTCTCATCAGTTGTAAAAGTTGGCGAGCAGCAATTGACGATACTGACTTTCTTCTGACGCGCAGGTTGGAGACGAAGAATGGTCAAACACGGTGATAGGATTTCGTATGGGGTGAATAGGTGTGAAAAACATGGGTGTACGATAAGGGCAAACCTTCGATACTTCGTAATGGACATTTCCGTCGACGAATGACAAGAGTTCCGTCATATATTTGTGAATCTTCAAATGTGTCGATCTATGGCGAGTATATGGAATTTGATGCGACCAGCAACCTCAACAAGAGTGTGAAAGTCGGCGTCTGAGGAGATTGTTCTGGCGTTGCAGGTGCACGGCAAAAAGCAGTCTTTATGGCGTGTCGTAGGCGTGGTCGTTTTGTCAGCTTCCAATGATGTCCTGTGCAACCCTAGATTTGATCCTACCTCACCGGTTGTCTCAACTCCCGACGTCGTAGACGGGAGCGCCCAGTGTGGGAGGTATCTACTGGTTCAGTCTATGTGATTCTGTGTAATCCTGAGCCCTTGTTGATCAAAGGGAGCTTTGCCACCATGCGACTACTTTGATACCAGAACGGTGGTGGATCCTGGTATTGCTTTACTCCCAGTTATATTTCCGGATGAAAACGTCGGACTCCTTCTCGGTTTGAAAGACCTTGGTAGGTGGATGAATCCCCGTTGTACACCACAGTCCGACGCTCATGAACACCTACCCACGATAATGCTATGAACCTAAGAGATGTTGCAACCTATACATGTATGAAATTTTATCCTATCTCGAAGTAACGCTGTTTGTACACATAGTCACATTTTTACATCGGAAATTCAAAAAACCGCCTTACTGTTGATCTTAGCATTAGTGGGCAAGATATTTTATTTCAATGAACTGCCTTTACTAAGCTGACAAAAGGTTGTTGACCCGCATTTTTGAAGTTCTTCTTCAGAAACTGGACATTTTGTTATACAGATATATTCGGTAAATCTTGATAAGAAGTCATAAATTTTAACCTATTAAAGAGCATCCATAGTCAGACCACAGTGATGCTGCGATGTTTGCAAAACTCCGGACCGCAGGTGTCTGCGGTGAGGAACGAACGCGCTATTACCGTTTCCGGGAGCTAACGCGTTCACCACACCATATGGGTCTTTCGTTTCGTCTTTCTCTCAGCTAGTTTTCTATCTAGTAGTGCCGTCACCAATCACTAATCAGCGGGAATGATGTGGGGAGCGCAAATCGGCATCGAACCCAGTTAAGCTGAGGCTGTGGTCGAAATTACGATGTAAACTTTTTATTTACTGCCCATCAGAATTTTTTTCAGGACTGTTGCCCAGATCAGTTTCGTTGACAGGCGAATGTTGATGGCAGAGTTAGATAGGAAACTAGCTGAGAGAAGCGAAACGGAGGACTTGCATGGTGTGGTGATGAACGCAACACACCCTGTAAAGGCCATTAGCGGGTTCAATTCCCACCGCGGACACCTGCGGTCTGGAGTTTTGCGAATATCTCAGCATCATTGTGGTCGAATTTCAAATAATACCCGGCGATGAAAAATTCTGGTAGGCAGGAAATAGAAAAGTTAATATCATCCATATTTTCCGTTTTCTTAGGAATGGAACTACCAGTTTGCTGTTCACATAGCATAGTAAATGAAACTCACTTGATGCACTCCATGTTTTGGATTTGTTTTTTGGCTTTTGGAATCTATCCAGAATTTCTCGTGTGTTCTTGATTTCCAATTATGACTGTGATTTGAAAATTACAACCGTCATGCTTTTGCTTTGCATACCTGGTAGAGGGCTGGCAGTTGCGCGAAATTTTGCCCTCGCTTGTCGTAGTGATTCGCGAAGTGGTCGCATTCCATGTTCAGTATTTGTTGGCTGTCCCATGATGGACGGCATAGCTCGTGTCGTCGTTTCCCTTTGAAGAAGTTAAGAATTTGTTAAGACAATGTTTTGTTTTAGCGAAAGCAGTTCTTTGGCAACTAGGAAGTAGTACTTTTCGTTTGCCATACATCACCTTCTTCTGATCGGAGAGGTTAAAGTGGATAATTGGATGGAACAATCACAATAGACGACCGCACTAAATGGCAATGTTTACATGCTATTTATGTAGGAGGTATTTTGATGACGTATTTGTTGTGAGAACGTGGCTGATGTTTTTGACTGTATACGTAGAAAATAAAGAGTATTTTCTACGTGATAAAAGCTAACCGTATATTCATCCTGCCTTAGAGAAGTAGCGTGAGAGTAAATTGTCGAGCTGTTGTGGTATTCTCTGGTTTGAATTCCATGGTTGTTTTGCGTCGTTGGCGCCATATGGGTGCGGTTTGTTGAAGTTTTGGGATATCACGAACTCGAGTTTGAATAATAGGTTCCCAGTACTAGTTGTCATCCAATAGGTGTGCTAACGTGTAGAATACGCGGAAAATCACTAGCAAACGGCGGATGAGTTGTATCTACTGCGTAACGGACATGACACTAGCCGTTGTCCTAAAAGTAGCTCAATGTTGAGCATCGAAAGTTATGTGTGAATTGGAGTGTGCATAATTTATACAAGGTGTTCTTCCGATTTCGAATTAATTTTGAGTTAAACTTTCCAAAAAAAGTTGAAAAATTGAAAGTTAAATCTTTGAAATTTTAAACACATAAAAAACTATAAATCCCAACGCTACATTTGCGGACAGAATCGTGTTTTGCTAGACGGAATTCCAGTTATTCGATCTCCCTAGTGCTCGATATACGACCCTCGAGATAAAAAATGCGAGCGACTATGTTTTGTATGCGCTACGAAATCAGAGTCAGACAGAAAAAAAGTTGTATCTCGTTAACGAAGATGTGTAGATTCGAGTGACTCTTAGTTATGTTTATAGTTGAGGGTTACATACATTAAAACTCTCGGCGTTGATCAATTCCTGAGGGATGCGCCGTGCATTCGACTTCATTAAGCATCGTTGGAGGTGATCGAATGCATATCTGGCCTTTACAATGACTCGCGGTGGCCTACCGATGTATCGAGTCAGTACTGCTATCCTCCCAGACAAGTCTGGTACCAATTTGCCGACCTCGGAAGGATGGAAGGCTTGGTGACCCATGGGCGCGAGGATCAATTCCACGTATGTGTGTCACAGTGGCGCCTCCAACCACTGCACCACACGTGCCCTTTTGGTTACATACATTATTAATAAGAAATGTGTAATGACGATATATTAAAGCGCCTATGAAGTTTAATAGTTAGCATATTCACTTGTTTTAAACTACGTACTTTGTTTCTAGAAAACCTGTCTTTGTTCCCACCGATGAGAGAACCGCTCTGAACACCGCCGCCGTTGGAATACTGACCGGTGCTAGAAGTGTGACGAAAACAGACGCACAACGGTTTGTTCTTCCTGACCTTAGAATCAGATTTTCCAACTTACTTAAGGTGACATACCGATAACTACAGAGTAAGTGAAGTGTACTCTTTTTTTTTGTTATGTTGAACTAGTATAGGATTTTAGGCTTCTGTTTAACTTTGGTACGCTGAAGGCGATCTGCGAAGCAACCGAAGAGCAACTGGCGCTTTGCCCGGGACTTGGTCCGATTCGTGCCAGAAATCTTTACAGTTACTTAAGAACTCCCTTTACAACTTGATTAGCCACTCATTGTTCTCTATTTGATCTGCGTTCTGGATTGTTCTACTCTTCTAACTTCTGTTCAGTTTGTTGGAGTGTCGTTGTTTTCAATAAAGCATCTTATCATTTCGGCAGCAATCACATCATGTTTTCCTCAGTACTTTTTCTATTAAACGTTTTCTCCAAGTCTGCATCTGCACTAATTGCTTCCGTCTTTACTGTATGACTTGCTCTGGGTTGATTTCGAAACCATATGTCTTTTGTAGTGGCTACTCTCAGTTGTTCGCTTTGGCCATTGACTGATGTCACTGAATCTGTTTAGGCAAATATTTCTTAAGAGATTTGTCGTTTGCTAATGAACAGTTTAAGAGGGCGTATGAACTTTCTTGTGTCGTATGAGTACTGGCAAAATCTGTTGACCATTATTGACGTTGACTTGTTGAAATCGAGTGTTACACCGTCGTTAAGAAGGTTTTGCCACTTACCATTTCATGTCGTCCATTTACTTCCAAGTAGTTTTACCCAATATGCTGTTTCTGTTCTTACTAGTTATTGATGGCGGAGATCCCTGCAAATGCAAATGCTGGCTGTCCTGGTGTTGGAAGTGCTGCAGCAGGAAAGGCACCCGGATGTGCTGGTTGTCCGAATCAAGTAAATTCGTTTTGAGACGAGTTTCATTTTTTTGCTTGCTGTTGCTTTATCGGGTTTCCGATTAGTTTTTTCCCTTGTTCTTAGCTGTTTCTTGAGGAGGTTTGAGTCGTAATCTGTATTTTGTGGTTCTGAAATTTTGTGGTCTTTTCTGTTAAAGAAACCTTATGCTAAGATGGCCGTTGGTTTAGAATTTCAAAATGAAGTTAAGGGAACCTGTTCAACTGGTGAGTTGCCGAAACCCGACGAGGACATCGCCATCATTCAAGATCGCTTCCGTAGTATAAAACGCAAGGTGGGTCATTTAAATGTTGTCACGTTTAGAGTGAGTGTTCCAATCGTTTTCTTATGAGATGGTGTCGTTCTTCAAAAGATTTTGAATCTCACATTTTGTTCTAGATTTTGATTCTCAGTGGTAAGGGTGGAGTAGGGAAAAGTACAGTGACCACTAATTTGGCGCGAGCTCTTGCTAATGATGCATCGAAGCAGGTATACATCCGTTTTCGTTTCCATAGTTCTGTTATCCGGACGGAGGTAGTTTCCTTGTGAACTTTCTAGGTAGCAATCTTAGACGTGGACATCTGTGGTCCATCTCAACCGAGAATGCTGGGTGTGGAGCAGGAAGAAGTACACGACAGTGCTGCTGGGTGGACACCGGTTTCTGTGCGTGAAAATCTTACTCTCATGAGTATCGCATTTCTGCTTGGTACGTTGTGCGGTGTAGTTTCGAGTTGTTGTTAGCTTTTTAGGGGAATTTTACCCTTTTTTAGCAATAGATGTCATAAATTAAGTTTGTCATTTTTTATGTATACATCTATAGAACTTACTACAACTATTATGCATTAGTTCTTTGACTTTTTGGAACAGTTATGAGCCACTATTTGCTTGAATCCTTCGTACTGTAAGGAAATCCCACTTTAATCTGTGCTAATATGTCTCTATACATCATACGCTCAAAATTTCGACCTCATTTCCTTTACATGGATGATGTAGTGGTAAGTAGTTGCGATTGAAAGATGGTGTTATAGGGAACAGGAACGATGCAGTCATATGGCGGGGTGCTCGCAAAAATGGCATGATCAAGCAGTTTCTTCGGGATGTCGACTGGGGAGAGGTATCGGAAATTCCTTCATGATTTGTCCTGATTTCATATTTCTTATGATGGCAGTGCCCGTGTGGTACGACATCTTATTAAGATCAGTAACAAAATATTTAAATCTGTTATTTAAATGGCAGTCCGTATTATTTTGGAAGAGTGATTATTCATTGTATCTCAGGAAGGATAAGCTAATACGTTGTAATGCTGTGTATAACGCATTACCACTAGTCGCCTAGTTTCTTAAATGAGCAACAGTAAGGTTTCTTTTCCACGGAAGACCTGTTGAGTGAGTTCCGCTAATTCCCAGATTATGAAGGATATCTCTGTTTTCAAGTGAGGCTCCTCATTTTTACTGCTCTGTCCGAGTATGTAGCAAAGGATCGAGGATGTTTTTGTAATGACGGCTGCTAATATTCCTGATTGTCGATTCCAGGCTGCGACCGTTAGAATCGATCCACATAGACGCTTACCTTGGGACGCTTGTTTCAAGCTTCTTTCCTCCAATGGCACCTTATGAATTTTACTCTACCTTCCTCCTGCTCACGTATCGCTAAGGTTCCATAATTGAATTTAAGTGTATGAAGAGCTGTGATGTAGGAGGTTTAGGTGCGGAGGCAGATGATCTTCGTTTTTTTTTTTTCAATTGTTCGAGATTGTGTAGAGCCTCTCCGTGGCAATCTTCCGTACTGTCTACGGCTAGGAACTCGGATATGTTGAAATCTTGTTTACCAGAATGAGATAGGCGTACCTAGAATTAAGGTATTAAAATTTGACCTCCAAACTAAATCAGACTTTTACTGTTTAGTACATACATGTATTCTAAAAAGTTGGAAAAATTATCACCTACCTACCTGTAGGAGTGCGTTCAGTGCAGTAGCCGTGCTCTGCAATACACAAGCGGTCGATCTCCGTTCCCCAGGCTCCCTAATTCCTTACTCTCTAGGTCGGAAAATTGGTAGCAGACTTGTTTGGGAGGATATCAGCACTGGTTGGATACATCGGTGGACTATTGCGTTTCATTGTAAAGGCCAGATATGCATTCAGTCATCTCCAGCGATGCTTAATCAAGGTGAACGCACGGTGCATCCCTCAGGAATTGATCAACGCCGAGAGCTTTATCTTTCCTTTTACCTTAACTGTATGTAAATCGAATCCAGCAGAAGTGTAGTAAAAAATCACAATATTTAACTTTTTATTTACTGCCTATTATTTACTAAACAAAGGGTCCATTTTCCGACTCATCCGACACCTTGCGCAAACCATTTCATTGTTTGTAGATCATACCTAACTTCCATTTTATAAATAGCGGTTGTGTTCTCGAAGCTAAATCGTTTTTAAATGACTTGATTACTAATAGTCGATAGTTAAGCTAATTCTTTCAAACAAATAAAGTACTTTTTCGGTGGACTATCTTCTAATTGATACACCGCCGGGTACATCTGACGAACATATATCTTTGGTGCAATTTCTTCTTCAAGCAGGGAGTCTTGATGGAGCAGTCATTGTCACTACTCCGCAAGAGGTTTCGCTGCTTGACGTCCGAAAAGAAGTGAGTTATTGAGTGATAATAATTCTCATTTCTGCACATTTTTTGCCAGTTTAGAGGTGAAAAAGTTTGCTTTTTGTCATAATATCTCTATTAGTTAAAGGAGTATCAGAAGAGGGTAACAAAGTTAAGGACATTTTCGACAATTTCTTGAGTTTTTTCACTACAATGCGTTTTTGTATGCGTCACAAAGTGGAACAATGTTTGCGCCAGATTGACTTATAGCTTATTTCGTACTACTGAGTAGGTGATCATGGTTTTACGTACTCGATTATGTCTACATACATGCAGATTGCTCGTCAATTTATGCAAAAGTCTCTTTCACATAAGTATAGAGTACAAGGGCGACGTTATTGCCAAGAACAGCAAAGTCGAAGATCCTCTCTCGAAAAGCGTGATGCGCAGAGCATGTCTATTAAGCGAACTCAACCCGATTTAGCAGTATGTAAACATGAGAGAATGAATGATTTTATTGGTGCTCAATACTCGATAGTCTTAGTTGGCGTAATGAGAGCAATGAACACATGTGGTTCTTTCTCGCACACAAACAATGTTCCGAAACATTTTAATGGTAAGGTCAGAAAACTTCTACATTGCAACGTAATATGAAATACTCGGTCATAAATTTTAAACTATTGTGTATTGCAGTGGAAACCCCAAGGATTTGAAGACTCATTGCGTGTTCATGTTGTGCGTCATGTTGGAGTAATATAAATTTATGTTCCAGGTGAGTTTCTGCCACAAAACGAAGGTGCCGATTTTGGGTGTTGTAGAAAACATGGCGAAGTTTGTTTGTCCACATTGTAAGCATACTAGCGTACTCTTCCCCTCAACTACAGGTTTGTTCATGTAGAGTCTCGTATGCCGCCTTAATTTTTACTTAGCGTTGTTGAAAATTTCCTTTTGTGATTTTATTGATAGTTAGAACTTGACGTGGTTTTCACGAAGTATTTTAGGAGGCGCAGCAGCTATGTGTGAAGAAGGAAAATTGGAATTATTGGCTCATTTGCCATTGGAACCTGCTCTTGCTCAGGTGAGCTCCACTCATTATGTACCTTGTTCTTGATTTATAATTTTGAGAGAAATTTAGGAATACATAGCCCTGACCGGCTTGTTTTAATACTCATAAGACCTAAAAGGGTTTTTCAAGAATTTGTTTGCCTTTTGCCTAATTGACCATAGTTAGGAAGTGCATGATATTTATCCTATTATGTGTAATAGAATTACAAAGTGAATGCTTTTTAGACATTGGATAATGGAGAAGATTTCTTTGATAAATATCCAGACTCAGCTATGGCGAAAGCATTTCTCGAACTGGCCAACAAATTGGAAGTCGTCTTAGCATAAAGATTAATCAAGCCTATTACAACGACGCCAATTCTTACACTCCTTACTTTTGCTTGTTATCTTGACTAGTTTTGAATTTTTGTCGAATTAGAAATATGAATTTGTATATCTTGTTGCTTCCTCTGTTGTCAAAGTGTTTGTTGAATTCGGTCGTACATAAAATGTTTGGTGAGCATCAATGAGATTTTCGATTGATCTGGCTTTCGAGAACATTCTGGAATATGCTTTTTTTCTTTTAGTGAAATTGCGGATACCAGGGTTAATTAATCAATTTAGTTTGAAAGCATTGAGTTTTGGAATATTCCCTTTTAATGCTGAAGATTTGCTGTAGCCTGAGTAAGCTAGTATTATAGTGGGGCAGTATCCAGCTGTTGAATTTTGCTTAGGAGTGATAGCACTATTCAGATTTGTTGTGATGCACCGTGTAGTGATCACGGGGATAGGGGCTATTACTCCGTACGGTACAGGTGTGCAGCTGTTCCAAAAAATGTTGCTGGAAGGACGTTCAGCACTGAAGTTCTCGGATCAGCTTGGTTTCATGGTAAGCCTTTTGGTATTTGGATATATAACTGTCTAGGTGGTTACCGTATTGTAAAATGCTTCCTTTTTATCGATGAGGTAAAAGGTAGTGTGAAATGAAGCGTCTATGACGCTTTAGGATGACCAGAATGTATCAGTCTAAACGTTAATACATACTAGCAAGATCTGTGTTATTACAACTTCACAAGAAGGTTTTATGTGTGAGAATGGGATACATTTTGGTAGACGCTCACCTTTTTTTCGGATGGTAAAGCGATGCTTGCGGAAACTTTTACTTTGGCAGCCTTATAATCTCTAATAGTTTGCCATCTCATTGTAGCAATGGCTGTTTGTGGAATTTAGTCTATTATATACAGCTGTGATGTTGTTAATCCAATCAGGAGTAATCCAGGCTGAAATAGGTTCCACTCAGAAGCCGAAGCCTTCATGTCAGGAGTTACCGTCGTCTTTGAATAAACCTGCTAACAAGGCGGCACGCATCCCACCAATCTTTCACCGCCTAATAGCCCACGGCATGGCTATCTCTGAGTCTATTTTTAGAATTGCCTCCAAATATCTGTCAAAGGGGAATGTGCTGCGTGTGTCAGCACTACTCTTCATGGAAATACTCGTTGAGTCGTTGAAATATTACATAGTTATCGCCCCTTTTCAGGAACTTCCAGTCCTTTTTACATAGTTCCGTTCACATGCAATTATGCTCAGGTGTAGCTCTTTTGCATCACTGAGGTTTCTCTCTTGTTCTCTCTTGTGATCAGACATGTGCTTAAGTACTGGTACTGGTCCATTAAATGGTTATAAATGATAGAGTTTTATTTAAGGTTGGAGCGATTCCAGAAGACGCTGTTGATTATAGTCGGTGGAGCCCCGGTCAACAACGTGAAATGAGCAAGGCCAGCCAGCTGGCGCTTTTGGCCGCTGAAGAGGTGAAAGGATTTTTTTATAGGAATTTGAAATTTGACGTCATCTTAGGTGTAAACTACAGTTCTAGGTAATGTCTATGTCGGAGACACAGTCCCTTGACCATCACGACACTTTCGTTAACATTGGTACCGGCGTTGCCGATTTGCTCGAGATTGCTAAAACATCGACATTGGTACATAGTGGACAGTCAAGGTGAGTATATAAAACGTATGTATCTTTGTAATAGGAGGCCTAACCAATGATATCATTCCTTTGTCACCATTATTCAACATGTTACTTTATGGGCCTTTCGCAATCTTTAGCATCATTGTGATCTAAGTAGGCTATTGAATATCCTCACTGTGTAAGCTGATTTGGTTCGCATACCGCAATTCATGTTAGCAACGACTCAATCAAATGCTCTTATTTGTACTTTCTGTTTTCTTTTCTTTTCTTTCTTGAACCATCTGCTAAATTTCCTTCATTAATTTCTAAGTTATTTTTCCCTTTCTTCAACGAGTTTTCCCTTTTTTAAAGGAAAGTCTCACCTTATTTCGTCCCACGAATCTTGACAAACTTACCCGCGGGATACGTTGCCATGAAGTGAGTACGTCCTTTTAACTCATTTTGTCCAGTCTTTTCTATTCATTGCAATATTGATTCTTTTGTATAATTCTTCCCGTACTTTTAAAGGTATCATATGATGGGCGGTGCCGAAAGTGCTTCAACTGCTTGTGCCACTGGTCTTCATTGTATCGGTGGGTAATATCCTGTCTAATGTAGACATTTTACTTTTGCAAACATCTTACGGTGACTTGTCGCTTTGTGTGCCGGTAGCATCCGAACGTTTTGATTCTTTTCTGATCCACTATTTGTCTCGACAACCGCTTTTTTGCGAATGCACTATTGTTTAGGAAATGCATTCAACGCTGTTAGACAAGGCTGGGCACGACGTGCCATTGCTGGTGCGACAGAGAGCTGTGTGAATCTGATAGCATTGACTGGGTTCGATAGGTATGCATCAATGCATTTGTTTTTTATTTTTACATGAACTATCATCACATCTCCTGTGCGGATCCCAGCACTTCTTCCATTTCATTCACTTTCCTTGCGCTCATCGTCCACAATGACCTCCGGACATTTTGCATGTTGTTTGAGCTACTGCTTGAAGATTTCATGTTTTTACGAATGTCGTAGAATGCTGGTCAAGTCGGTTCTTTTTGAAATTTTGGAGATAGCAGGGCTAAGGGGTTCCCATTTGGACTGGAGAAGAGTGTTGGATAGATGGTCGAACCAGCACCTTCCTTCCTAATGTATTCCATCAATAACCACCCATAGTCCTCCCTTAGTGCATTTATACCAAAACAAATGGTTTTATATTCAACGCTATATTCAACCTTTTCTCAATCGTTCTGGATTATGACCGTACACACGAATATCACTGGAACAATGTAAAGATTACAGTAACAGAAATGGAACTTACAAGTTTTCAAGGTTTACTTACCCTTAAAACAATATCGTGAATTCTTTCCCGTAATTTCGTCAAATGATCAAATCCGAAACTACTCCATCTGTCGAAACGTTATCAGCCGTTATCAGAAAACTGGAGGTGTTGCGAATTTGTTAAATATGAAAAATACTGCAATGCAAGTGGTATGAACTAGTAACTTGTAGCTATTTACAGTTAGGCACGATTTATGTAATGAAAGCAGAACATTAGAAGTGTAATTCCGCTATGGTACCACATTAGTTCTTGGATTCGAACATTCTGAAACGAAGATCAGGAACACCTGATTCATGTGGTTAAAAAACACCTTGAAAGCGAAAGAAATTAGCATTAACGTCTGTATGCTCTTTTCGGGTGTATTCAAATGGAAAAATGGTAGGATTACAAGGTAATTTGTATGAATTTGTTTTTAGAAAGGAGTTCTTTTGTACAGCGGTGAAACTTATATACCCTCAATAGCCTAGTTCTTGATTACGATACTCTACCAAAAAGGTAATGCTTTTTGTGAGACATCATACCAAAAGTATGATGGCCTTCGTGCCCTGGAGAGGTAGCACTAAGGTGGTTGTGATGTGGTGCCTTTGTATTCTTCGTGTTAGCAGGGTCCACCAAGCACCTTTAGTGCGCTACGGAGACAAATGGGGTTTACTGGTAATCTATAGAGCTGCTCGATGAGTGATGGCATAATAAGCGATACAGCTGAAACGATCGAAAGACGCAGTTCAAAATGTCCTCGGTTTTCGGCCCGCAGATTTTCATGTAATCAACCTATCATACGAGTTCACGAAATAGCTGTTAACTGTTTCCGTTATCTCAGGTTGATCAGCAGGTGCAACGCTGTGATGAAGGCTTATCAGTAAACTTTTGTTTGAGTCAAAAGCATATGATTTTATCTAAATTGTCATTAGTAGTGGTGAAATCGTGATACTCGCTTCCATACTTCTACGTCGAGGTGTATTTTCAGTTTTTTACATGAATTATGGTTTACGCACTCCAGGTTTCCCATAATGTGTAGTAGTTTACAAGTTTTACCTATTCTTACTAATATGTGTAGTAAAGATCAGCAAGTAGAAACTGTTTCATCGCTGTGGTAGTGTTGTTACGACGTCGCTTCTTAGTACCCTTGTCTATAGCATTGTTAGAAGGGAACAACTTGATGGTAATCGACTACTTTTTAAGGAGAATATTTTAAGCAGTGAAAACGCATCTCTGTTTTGTCGTTCATTGAAATTTTTTATACTAAACCATGTAAGATTAGTGAAATTTTAGTGGATTTCCATCCTAACATTATATGAAGATTTGCAAGATCCAAGGACTTTTAATTGAACCTTCCAATCTTTCCTTTATATGGAAACTGAAGTATACAACGTTATAAAAGAAGCTATCTCGTAAATATTGGAAAGATGAGGCTCAATTCTGTTCATTTTTCTTGCAGAATGCGAGCTCTCTCACGTGGTAAAGAGCCATCTTGTAGTCGTCCGTTCGACAAGAAACGCGACGGTTTTGTGCTCAGTGAGGGAGTTGGTCTGGTATTACTGGAGCGACTGCAGGTAAACAGTTCCATTTCGCGCTTAAACTGTTGCTCTGCTCTTGAATTAAGGAATCCTTTCAGGATGCTGTGGATAGAAATGCTCCTATTTTGGCGGAAGTTATGGGATACGGTACGAACATATATTCCAAGCTAAATTTATTCATTAACGGATTTAATTGAAGTTAAAGCTATGGCATTGTAAGGTTATGCTGGTACAACATGTGTTCCGCCTGAATGTGTTGACATGAGTTTGCAGCGTTTAATCTACGTAGATATCGATGCACATGTTGGAATGTTCATGTAAATGTTAACGCCAACAAAACAGGAAATATCTTTTGAACAATTTATCACTCCCTCTAAATGAAATTTCAGATCTGGTAATTTCCACGGCTTGGTTTTTGAATACTTACTATTCAATCGCTTCGCAACCTCATTACTTATACAGAAGTTTCGCTAGAGCTGTTTTACAGGCATCTCGTCGGACTGCTACCACATCTCCAGTCCAGATCCGTCAGGCATAGGAGCACGATTGTCAATGCAGCGAGCTATTCACGATGCAAATCTATCCCCTGATGATATTACCTATGTGAATGCTCACGCAACGTCAACACCGACCGGAGACACAGTTGAGGCACATGCTATTCGCGAAATATTCAGAAAACGAAAAGTCTTCGTGTCATCTATTAAGGGTAAGTGTTCAGTAGGAAAAGAATTATGAATAAGGCTTTTACGGTTGAGTAATCCCTAAAGGATGCATTCGACATGTTAAGCATAGTAGAGGTGATTAACAGCATATTTAGTCTCTACAGTGGTTTACTGTAGCCGACCAATGTGTTAAGTTAGTCTTTTTATCCGCTCAGAAAGTCTTGATACCAATTATTTTTCAACTTTGGGGAAATCCAGGCCTTGTTTTGCCTGGTTCGCGTTATAGAACTGAAGAATACATATGTGTAGCGAACCACCTCTAAGCACTGTGCTACACGCGTTTAGTGTCCATACTACTTAGCCAAGGTCTTCTATACCATCAGTTGTCCGCAGTCAACTCGAGTAAACACTCGGTAAAATCTTCTTCTATTCTATTATTTATCAGAGTTGCCCTTTGCGTTTTGGTGCATATTCGATAGATACAAAGAACATTGCTCATGTGGGCACGTCATGCTGGTTATTTGTTTTGAACTAATTCACCGTAATAACTCGCTTGCCTAGAAATTTAGCCGTATTGGAGAAGCGTCTCTAAAACTCAGTTTTCGTAATACTTACTTAATTGGAGACTTGGAGTGCCCGTCTTCACGAGTTGTGGAGACACTAGCATTGCTTTCGTTTCTTTACGTATCGTTCGTCGTCCATGATTGCGGTTTGATTTGAGCATGGTGTCGAGTTCGAATCTCCCACCGCGATCTATAAACAACTGCAACTGCAGCTGTTTGATTTTAGTTGCGAACATGTCCACCCTAAGTATGGGTGGTGGTTCTGGAGGGCTCTTGTATCTTCATGGACTCTACCCCACTGTTCTTTTCATCCATCTGTCATCTATTCTTCTCATTATATAATGGACCCATCTTTCTTTCGCTGTCAATTTGTATTTACCTTGATCTCGAAAATGAGATAGATTTTGGACATCAATGCTTCGTATTCTGGCTAGTTGTTGTTTGTACCGGTCATATTTCAGAAGAGATCGTTCAAACGCTGTGTGAGTATCACCTCTCGTCCCATTGATCATCGAGTGGTTCGAGCGGATGCCAGTAAATCGTCCATTTCTCTGTCGCGTCCAAGTGTAGCCCAGTGGGTTCTGCTCGCTCTAGGGACTCTTTGAGCACCATATATTTCTTCTAGGGTTTTCGTGAAGAATTCTATCCATTGGATTGGTGATCTAAATGCTGCGCTTTTGACATCTCGAAGAATCTAGTCGCTAACGGCTCTTGTCCATGGTTTGTCGTTCTCATGTATTATTTGTCTGGTTCACTTTATTTTCAACAATTTGGCATATCGAGCGGCGTCCTTCATTCTCGATAGCTGTCCTGCGTCGAAACTCTGGATTCCCTCTCTCTTCTGCGTAGTACGAGATATTTCTAGTTTTAGCGTTGTTCTTTCGACTGCGCATCCTACAAAGTGGAGTGATCTTTCATGCTGCCTGCGTTGCGAATGGGTTTCTGATAGATATAATATTGAGGCAGGAAGAGTCATTGAGTCGAAAAGGTTACCATGAAGTCAGATGTTCTTAAATTTCCTCATTGCATCCTCTATGCTCTTGAAAGCTTCCCAGACCGCTCGCTTCCTTCTAATCAGCTGTGGAGCTAAAGTCGTTCATCATGTTGATTTCCCGACCTAGATAACCTTAGTTGGAGTATTCAGAGATATTCTTACCGTTGAGCGTAAATTGAGCATACGAAGCCAATCCGTTCCTCACAAACATGGTTTTTGTGGGATTTACTCGAAGACCAGTCTTTCCATAAGCGCTATCAAAGTTGTGAAGCATTCGTTACGTCAGACTAGTGCTTGATATATAAAAACATTGTCATCAGCAAAGCGAAGATGTAACTGGATGAAGATGAACATGTAATTGCCGACCATCGATTTTCACTCCTATGTTTTCCCATTCCATTGTTCGCGTGGTGTTCTCGAGAGCAGCGATGAATAATCTTGTTGTCATGGTATCGCCTTGCCTAACATCTCTTTTGACGTCGATGTTAATATCGTTGCAGAATGGTAATATTTCGTATGTGAAATTTTTATATGCCTTACGAAGGATCTTTGCATATCGATTAGAGAGTCCTTGGATCTCCAGGGCTTCTATGACTGCTTCTATCTCAGCTGAGTCAAAGCCTTCTTCAAATCGATGAAAGCGAGACAGAGCGGTCTCTTTTACCCTCGGGATACTTCGGTGAGAATTGTTATCGCGTAGATTTGGGCCTTCTCAGTGAATCCTTTTCGAAACCTTACTTGGTCACATGGTTGTTTTTCGTCCATTGTTCTAGCAATCCTGTTTAGCACAATCCGAGTGATGAGTTTGTAGACGACATCCAGTAAGCAAATTGTGCGTAGCGCTGAAATGAAGATTTTGGATGAGTCAGTCATACTCCTCGTTGATTTTATCAACGGATTCGGCACTTTTCAGCCCTTCAACGAGGAGTGTGGTCGATCTGCACATGAGCCGTGCCGTTAAGAGACTCCCATGTCCAACGACGGCTTTGTTCTAAAAAACAAATTTCCATGGGAAAGGCATGCTGCGGACAGGAGACCTGCAAGGCGATTTCCATCCTTATTTCCTTCTCCTAACCTGTATTCGCTGTTGTTAGCCTTTTCTATTCTGGCATTGAAGTCTCTGACGACAAATTTTTAATACGCTTTATCATTGCGGATAACTTCCTCCATGTGATAGTGGTGCGCATCTAATTCGTACCCATGAGCTACATCGAGGTCGATAAAAAGATTTATTCGGCTAATATTTGGACGTATTTTTCTTCTTCAAAGCCATATTGATTCGAGTCCAAGGTCCATAGGTGGCCGTCTTCGCGATATGATTGTTCGATGTCGTCTCAAGGATTAGATTGTGATTAATTATTAGACCAAGTTGTCAAACTGCTAATTGCTTGAAAACTGATAAGCCTTGTTGTCGAGGTTTTCATAATACTTGGGAAAGTTTTGAATGGGCTCTCATAGTTGTAAAGATTGTTCATAACAACTAAAAGTGGTCAAGGAGATAGAATAATCACAGCATAAAGTACTCAAAGGATTTCCAACTTTGAATTTTTAGGTTTTATCCATCCTTTTGGAGAAAAGGTTATTGCGTAAAAGGGATCGTGGTCCGGCTTCGTGTGGAGTTGTAGATTACAGCATCGTCAGTTGGACAAAATCTTTGAAATGTTACGGTTCTTTGGATCTTTTACGGAGGTGTTTGGCAGGGTAGATTGCAGTCAACCTGACCTTTTCAGACTCTGAGGAAAGCGAAATCCGCCGAAACGTCATCTTTATCGTAATAAAGAATGAAGTAATACATCGTGCTTACTCAACATGAATATGGATAAAACCATTGATTAAGGATTGTGTTCAATTTCATTATGGTACTCTCCACTCAGAACCTGTCACTTCTAACTTTGAGAGGATTTCTGGAATTTTATGCATTCTTACGGAGAAAAATTCCTACATTTTCATCATCCATTGGCCCAGTTTAGTGTAAACGCATGGCAGAACCACAGTTAGCTTTCCGCCAAAGTAAGGAGCTTCTTGCCAGGAGTGAGGTGTTTCTCATTTCCTTCGCAATCGAAGCTCACAAGTCAACGTTATTAGTGCTCTCCCTAGTTGCTTGGTGGTTAAGGGGAGTACATGTCATAGAAATGTACTGGATATCACACTCCCGTTCTTGGTAATTGTCCATAAATGCGATTGCACGAATTGAACACTTTTTTCAGTTGAAACTTGAACAGTTGAAACTGTTGTGGATGTTTTTTAATAGGTTTTTAAATATGCTCTTGTCTGCCTGCATATGTTCCTAATTGCTATAACTGAGGAAATATTTGCTTGTTTGGTTCATAATGCACTTTTCTTTTGTAAAAGTGTCATTTTGATTGCTTATTATTCGTTAACAGCGAAATGGAACCCCTTCTTATGTTGTTTATGCAATACAACATACAATATCCGCATACATACATTTGTAATCTTAGGTCACATCGGTCATCTTTTGGCGGCAGCCGGGGCTGTGGAGACAATCGCGACAGTGGAAGCGATCCGCAGCGCGACGCTGCCGGCGAATCTGAATCTTGAGGAATCCGACGACGACGATGGCGTTATACTTCTTCGTCAGATCACTGAATGGCCGCGTCCGCGAACGGCCATTGTAAATTCGTTTGGTTTTGGTGGAACAAATGCAAGTATTGTGATAGCTGAGTGTCAACCATGACCGTTCAGCTAGTTTTATGATTTACTCCTGCGTTTTCCTTTATTCAGCGGATTTTATGCTGCCAGGTGGGATAACAGTACACCGAGCATTTACGGGTAGATCAAAAATGGCGTCAGCTTGACCAAATTGTGAGGTTTTCCTTATTTTATTAAAATCTAGCGTGAGTTCATTAAGTTCAATAACATTTTCGATTTCTATCCATCAGATCGGTGTCCCACCACTTACTGTGAAATGTAACGGCTCACAGCGCAAGAGTATGAAGAGCGTTCGCGGGAGTAAGAGTAAAGAATTGTTTGTAAGGCACCTGTAAGCAATAAAAGTATTTAACTTATGTTAACACACACAACGTAATTACAGCGACGGCGCTCTCCACGGCGTCGTCGGGCCAAATGACGGTGCTAGTGGCGTGGCTAGGTCCAAGCGAGCGGCGTGCCCATTGGCTAGAACGGGGCATGGACGCAAGGCACGCACGCGGCGTTGTAGCAACGCAGTCGCCATCGACCCATAGAGTGTATTAGTTAGGTACATAGAGAATTCTCTATACGAAATGCGTTAGTGTTGTGCTAAATGAAATAACGGTACGCTGTGCAATAATGAGTAGATCAAAAATAGCTCGAATTTGTTCAGATTGTGCGGTTTTTTTATTTCATGGAAATCTATGTACATATTCAATGTTTTTCATCAATAAGCAGACACGAGGTTGTTAATATAGAATTTATTAGAACACAATTGCTGATGTTTCGGCG